TCTACATCCCTCTTCCTCACAGCTGAAGGGGTGAATATCCCTAGCTAGTGCTCTACCTATGATAGGCAACACACATAGTGATCAGCCTTTACTACAGACTAGCCACACACTGCTCGGAAGCTATCAACTTACCAAGTAAACCACCGAGGAGGCTATGGCTTTGGTCTGCCAAAAACCTATCTAAAAGGACAGACCATGATCACATCCTAAACAAACAAATCAAAATATTTTCACTAGTTAGCTATCCTATCTAATCAGGGAACCTGACTAAACCCTAACACTTTATTTTATCGACCCTAAACTGGCTGAACGACCCTAATAAAAATTCTAAACATCACTACAAGCTCCTAACTATCTCAGCCTAAGCTATCTCCAACGTGGATGCTGCCACAACGACGACACAGGCTTGAACATCCATCGGACGATCACTGGGTTACATCACTATTGATCTCCCAGCTGCCTTAGTCCTCATTTTACAGCTATCACGTTCCAACAGCTTCACTTACAATCTTTAAACAAACAAAAACCAACCCACGTATAACGTCAACAACATATTCTAACTACATATTCCAAGACACATATGGTATGAGGGTATACCACATGAAGAATTTCTAATAATTAAATAAATATATTTTCCCAGAATGCAGACAGTCCTTGATCAACTGGAGGATGAGCATGAACTATTCGCACATACAGGATAATATATCTATCAAATTGAAAAAGGAAAACAAAAGTAAATTTTATCTATATGATGGTGTATCTTCTCCTCCTTTCCTTCCAAGTCTGCATGTACAGGAAAATATCAATTTTTCTCCAAATAATCCTCATAACGTCAATGTAGTTTCACATGAAAAATAAATATAAAAAATTAATTAACCTAGTAGAAACAAACACATTAAATTCCCTCATATAGAACTTTTTCATCCTATTCACATGGAGTAGATTCTGCCTACACAACCTTTTCCTATTCATACCTAATCTGCACATAATACAATTAATCCTACTCAACCAATTCACTACCCTAATCTTCGCGTAACACACCTCTTAGATAAAGCAATCCTGTCTTTCTTGTCAAACATTCGCTTTTGCTTTAATTGTAAACCACCTACAAATTGTTTACGACAACTCATCGAAGCTGCTCGTTTTACGTAGTTACTTCGCAAATTCACCACATTACTTACGCGAACACGATTAGAAATGTCGCTTTCCGAATTGTATTTCATATATATTTTCGGCAGAGCATTTTTATAATTATTATTTACATCTATATCCCGTTTTTGACGCAATTGACACGTCTTGTCACTGACATCAACTTCGTTCATAATTCTCGACAAAACCGAAGAGTTTTCATACTCCGATCTATTTAGTGAGAAATTATCAAAACTTTTTGATACTAATTTCAAAGATTTTTCTTTCTTTGAGCCATTATCTGTCACGGACTTTGACGAAATTTGATTGTCAATTTCCACTTTTGACAACTCGTAATTACACTTTTCCAAAACCTCTCGACCTAGAACCAAATATTTTTCAAGATCGTCTACAACCAGCAACTTCGAAGGATATTCCCTTCCATTAATCATTAACGACACTTTGGTGGACGACTGCACATTTATTGGCGTTGCATCCACTGTGCGTAATGGAAAACTTGGACTATCATCGATACGTAAATGTAACTTTTCCGCAAAATACCGAGAAATTACTGAAACTGAAGCATTAGTATCCACCAACGCCTCGCAACATACATCATTAATAAAAACAGATATAAAAGGTGCCCTATCTACGCTAGAACTATCAATTGTAGACAAATTTTCTACATGTTCAGTTGCGCTTTTCTGACAATCACGTTGAGGAGATCCCGACGAAGATCCACTACTATGTGCTCGTGAATACCCTTGACTTGGCGTATCCTGCTGCACAACTGGTGCTTGCGGCACTTGATAATCCGACTGCTTAGACTCGGGTCTAATTATCGGTGTAGAGACATCCTGTGTTTGCCAACAGTGAGAATTCTCCGAGTGACAGTTTACTGGCAATACAATATCTTCTCTACTCACATTATAACTGTGATTAAATACATCATCTACTTGTGTAATTGTTTTTCTCAACTCTTCTTTAGATAAATACAAATTACTAGCCAGCATCCATTTAAAATTGGGTAACAAAGACTTCAAAAAATGCTTAACAAACTGAACATCTTGAATATTTGCTTTCATCGCTAACTCATTTAAACTATAAAAATAACTTATAAGCGATTCACTATGCCCCTGTCGCCTATAATAAAATTCTCGGGCGTAATCAATTTGTGAGGGAAATTCCTCTCTCAACCTCTGTGCAATCACATCATACGACACGTATGAAGAAGAATACGTTTTGTACCATTGCAGAGCTGGCCCCTCCAAATACAATGCAAACACGTATTTCTTCTGCACATCAGACCAATTATTTAATATACTAATGGTCTCAAATTGGTTCAAAAACTCATCTACGTCGTTGAATCCATTAAACTTTTGCGCCGACATATTATCATACATATTTTCTCCTCGCACTTTTTACTGGCACCAAATAAAAATTAATATTAAATAAGTATAAATATAAATTACGACCTTTTATTACGCATTCCTGGTGGCTTTGTCGTAACAACATATAAACATTTTTCCACGATGGACTTTTCTTCATCGGAATCCTTTCTTCATTAGTAAGCTTGCGTCTAACTTTTGCAGGCTTGAATTACATTATATTTCTTCTTCGTAAAAACATATAAAAATATTTTCCAACGGCGTTCGTGCCTCCACCATTTATAATCGAGGGCTGTAGCTCAGATGCATTGCAAGAGGTACTTTTAATAATATAAAACGGGATTAACTTCAAACTTTGGTTTATTTCACCATTTTTACATAATTTTACTTTCAGGTTACAAAACAATCATCTTAATATTTATGTCAAGACCTTTCCTTGTTTTCTTAGCGTTCCAAATACAAAAACTATAATTATTATCTATGTTCAGCCAGCAGATTACTCATAGAGTACAGCCTCGTCTACACTACTCTATTGTTTGGAACTGAGAGACTGATTGTCCGCTCACACTACGAGTAATCCCACATTTAAGTTTGTATGGGGATGATGACGGTTGGTGCTAACAAGAAATACATTAGCAGTTTGCGCTAGCTGACTTATATTCTTTATTTGAAGTAACAAATATCTGAAACATATTTTTTATGCTTAAAAACGAATTACCACAACGCACAATCAACGAAAGGGAAGATCTAAGCCGTGTTACGAATTCCATATATGTTTTTGGCATTAAATTTCCAATTATTCTTTCAATGACAGGGTACTTGATATTACTATAAAATTTACAAACTTTCTCAGTTTTGTTATTAATTTGTTATTATTTATCCATTAAGCTTAATCACAACGGGCAAGACCCCACTAGAATAATTAAGAAATACACACAAATAAAAAAAAATGAAATTTGTAGAAGAGTAAGAAATCTGTTTACTCTCAGCGGTAAAGGGAGATTCAGAATCCTACCAACATCTCTGCGGCATGAAACTTGGATGTATTCTGGAGCACCGTATTACCACATTGCAGAATAAATAAAAAAAAAACAAATCCATCTAAATCGCTAAGACATTCACGTGCTGGTTGCCGTTATGCCTGTCAGTTGACAGCTAATAAGGCAACTCGCTTAACTGATCCGCTATGAACTGGAAAGAATGGGTCTTTACAGTCCGTAGCGGATCGGCTATCACTCGGGTCTCGCGGTGTTGTCGAAGTTAAACGGGATCCGGGACCTGTAGCTTGAGACGATGGACAGCGTAATAAAAAGAGACCAGTAGGTATAAAAAAGTCTTCCCTATAACTTTATCAAGTTTATATTGTTATATATGCGGTTATATACATGTGTGTGTAGCTGCGGCCACCGTCCTCACTTTATAAGAATAAAGAGTGCGTTACCAGCCGGTGTTTGTCTCACTCGTTCCCCGTGCTCCCATACTTATCAGTGGCGACGAGTACCCACATTAGTTTTGTAAAAATGTCAAGTGCTCATTTTGGAATTTTGCCTACTTTTGATCACAATTTGCAGTCATGGAAGACGTATAAAAATAGATTGTGCCAGTGGTTCATTGCGAACGGCATTAGTGCAACGTCGGATTCGACAGGGGGAAAAAGACGAGCGATTTTGCTGAGCGCACTCACCGAGAGCTCATACAAGCTTGCGGCGAACTTGGCGCTGCCCAAGGAGGTCGACGACGTGCCCTACACTGATATCATCAACTTGTTCGATGAACATTTCACGCCGAAGCGTGTAGGGTTTTGTGAAAGGCACAATTTTTACAGCGCAACGCAATTACAAAACGAGTCTTACCCGCAATGAATAGAATAGAATAGAATAGAATAGAATAGAATAGAATAGAAGTCGTTTATTACTACGCCACAAAAATATACACAGTAATAAAATGAAGACAAAAAAAAAGATGAAGCTACATTAAAACAAAAAATTAAAATAAAAATAACTGGAAAAAAAAGGAATAAAAATAACATCATACACATCAACAAAGCAAACATGAAATATTTAACACAATTAGACTAAGTGTCATGTGCGCGGCTGTGGCGTAAGTAACAGGATCCCACTCAGCTATTGTCACCACCGACGAAAGGCTGTGACGCTGATTTTCAGTGGGCCCTAAAACCGAGTGAGTACCGGACGTGTGTGTCGCGAATATACGAGTAAACTTAAATAAATTACATAATTATTTCTATAATGTGGTGTGTTGTGTTCAGTTGTATGTATAGAATATTTAAATAAAGATTTTGATACATATATAAAGTGATAAGTGTATGTAGTGTAGTGTCCAACATTTACAACAGACAAAATAGATCTTATTTAGTTTAAAATGAAACCGATTGTGAGATTTGTTTCACGTGTACTACGCAAGAAGAGAGGGTAGGCGCGCGGGAGGGGTCCCCGGCTTACGAGCACGGGATACTGATTTCACGAGCCAGCAAAAGTGCAGCACACTCCATTGTAAACACTAAACAGGTTTTGTCATGCGTCGTAGGTAATTAGCTCGCATAATAGCGTACAGTCTCCTATACCATAAGAGGTACGTACTAATCTGTATAACTGATAAACTTTACAGGTTATCATGAATAATCTTATTGCATAATGAATTGTATATTGAATAAAAGTTTTAAAAAAATTAAATGATAATTGATTAATAAAAGATTAACAATGAAAAATAGTAATAATTAATAACAATTTTCAGGGAAAATAAACAATCAAATTTATTATTTATATCGCTTGCCCTATCCCGCATAACAATGATGACGATGTCCGCCGCGCACCCATGCCATAAGTCGAATAACAGTGCGGTAAGTGCCCATGTAAACTTATACGGTTTTTTTTTTAATGTCTAAAAGATATTGTTTATATTTGCTTTTAAACGTGTGCACTGATTGCAGACTACGGAGCGGCGGCGGCAGCAGTACATTCCATATCTTTGCTGCGGCGAATTTGAAACTGCCGCGGAACGCGGCGGTGCAACAGCGCGGCAGGACTAGCGACCAAGCTGACGCTCTGGTGAACGCTGCTTTCACGTCGCGGGACCACACCAACTCCTCAGCCAGATAAGACGGGACTCTGTATTTTATAACCCCAAAGAGAAGTGTAGCCAAGTGCAGATCTCTTCGCGTTTTCATTTTTAAAATATTAGCGTCGTTTATGTAAGGGGTTACGTGCGTGCGTGGTGGTATATTAAAATAAAACCTTGCGCAGGCGTTCTGCACACGTTTTATTATTTGTTGTGTGGGCTTCAACAGCCGCGATCCATACACCACATCCATATAATTAAATTGTGGGCAATGGGCAGCTAGACTGCGAGGTCTCGCAGCGCATTGTAATTTTTTAAATATTGAAGAAGCGCTGCGTGACCGTTTTGTAATGGGCATGCTACCGAGTGGTGAAAAAGAAAAAATATACGCTCAAGACATAACTCAGCTAACTTTATCCAAAGCAGTGGAACTCGCCGAGAACATTCGATGCGCGCGGGCAAGCGACGCCCGCCGCCGCGACCGCCGCCGGGCCCTATGGAGGCCCTGCTACAGCGCCCGCCGATCAGCTGTTCAAATTAAGTGCGAAGTGAGCCAAAAAGTGAACCGGTTAAATCCAAGTGCACAGCGTGCGGGTCTACCTTTCATAGTGTCTCAACATGTCGTTTCGCGAAGTATGTGTGCAAAAAGTGTAATAAAAAAGGACATCTGCGTAGGATGTGTAAACAAGTGAATTATATGAACACATATACGGAGGACGAGGACGGTAACGGTGATGACGGTGAGTTATTTCACATACGATCTGTTAGGGGTGAACCTATGGTCGAATCGGTAAGAGTAAACGGCATAATATTAACATTTGAAATTGACGGTGGATCAGCTGTAACGGTTATATCTGAAGTTATGTATAAAATGCATTTCAAAAACGTGCCATTGTCACCTACTAGAAAAAGGTTAATAACTTGCTCGGGAGACCGATTAATTTGTATGGGCAGTTTATTATTATCAGTGGAATTTGCAGGTAGCATTCGCTGCACTAAACGTGTTTGTCGTGCGTAACGGCGGTCCGCCACTACTGGGCCGCGACTTTTTGCGTTTAAATTGCAATTAATGCCTGTTAATTACTGTAATGGGTTAGATATTACTATTGAAAGGTTTCAGCAGCAATATCCGCTCTTATTCTCGAATACATTAGGATTGTTTAATAAATATAAAGTAAACTTAAAAGTAAAAGAAAATGCGCAACCGGTATTTCTCAAGACTCGTCCTATTGCTTTTTCCCTACGCGAGGCCGTCGGAAAAGAAATTGACCGATTGGTCAACTTAGGAGTTCTTCAACCGATAGAACATTCTGAATATGCCTCACCTATAGTCCCAGTTTTAAAGAAAAACGGTACGGTACGGTTATGTGCCGACTACTCCGTTAGTATTAATAATATAAGTCTACCTGTTAGCTACTTTGCGAGCAGTCGTGCCAATAAGCCAATCCTTGTACGCTTAACGCGGAAATCCATCGGTTCTCAAACTTTTGTAAGATTTCGCTATGTCTTTTTGTGGCATATGTAATGAAGATGTTGGTGACGGAGTACATTGCACATCCTGCGACCAGGTGCTACATTTTCATTGTGCAGGCATAACCGAGGGAGGCTACAGAAAACTGGGCGCTGATAGGAAACAAGCTTGGAAATGCGGCAAGTGTAAACTAACAGGCCAGAGATCGCCACAACCCACCGGAGAAGCAGCCATTATGGCAGAACTTAAAGCCTTGTCTGTGAAACTTGCTCCCCTGGACTCGCTTACTGCTGAGGTCAAAGCACTACGTGCCGAAATATCTGAGCTAAGAGCACAGGTCACCCTAACTAATACGTCAATAAAGGAATTTAATGACAGATGTGAGAAGATTGAAGACCGTCTTGCGCAAGTTGAAGGAGTTGGAGACCGGGTGACCATCCTTGAAGCTGAACTAAGCAAAGTTATATGTGAAGCAAACGATAAATATCAATTTTCTCGCATGAACAACGCAGAGATAAAAGGCATCCCTCAGTCCCAGAACGAGAATTTATTAGATATTATTAGCTCAGTTGGGTCTAAAATAAATTATCCCATAAATAGATCTCAGATGAACTTTGTTACCAGAGTTCCGAGGAAGGATAACACCCAACCAAAACCCATAATCGTGGCGTTTATTAGCCGATACGTGAAAGAGGATTTTGTTGCAGCTGCGAGAGCGAAATCAAGGGAAGTGAAGCTCAATGCTAGTATATTTGGTTTCAAATCAAATAACATGGTTTTCGTCAACGATCACTTGACACCGTCAAATAAGGATTTGCTCACCAAGGCGAAGAAAATCGCCAAAGACAAGGGGTTTCTCTATTCTTGGGTAAAACACTCCAAAATATATTTGAGGAAAAACGACACGTCCCCAGTTATACAGGTCAAATCAGAGAAGGACTTAATGAAAATTGTTTAAGTGAGTTTTGTATTTTTAAAGTGCGTGCTATTTATGTGTCCGAACTTGATATAATGTTGTTTTTATTTATATTTTTAATCGTCAACAGTTTGAGCATCTCCGGTAGTTGCTGTGTGAGTATTGAATTTCTTCTAAAGTTGTGTCTTCCTTGTTCAGAAACATTTAAACTGAGTAGTCGCTGTGCTAACGCTTCATGCCTGTATTTTACAACATACTGCTGTGGGCCTATTGTACTAGCGTTGAAAATTGTCTGTAGGATGGTACCGCTTAATACCTTTAATGTGATAAAGTCATTAGTTAATGACCCTATTGTTATGCTTATTGAATATACAAAGTGCATGTTATTTGAATTGAAATTTTGTGTCGCACTGTGTTTAAATGTGCGTGGGTATCTTTTAATTAATTTATTTTTTTCGGTTGTACTATCGTTTTCTTTTATTTTTTATTTGAATATTTTCGGTAATTTGTATGTTTTTAAGTATAAGTTAAATTATTGCGTAATACGTGAAATAGTATTAAATATTTACTTATTTTTTATACATTCTCGGTTCGATAGACTGATTTTAGAAATTTTTAGTTTAAATATAAGGGTTATACTTTAAAAATATACTACCAAAACGCCAGGGGATTACGTAAGAAGGTCAGTGAATTCTACAGAAACGTGTGTTTAAGTAATTACGATGTTATATGTATTTCGGAGACGTGGTTGTTGGATGGCATTATGGATAGTGAATTATTTGATGGTAGATACCTTGTCTTTCGACGCGATCGTGACTATGTTAGGTTAGGCCAAACTTTAGGCGGCGGAGTATTGATGGCAGTGAGGCACGACCTTGCCGTTATATGCATGCCTGAATGGAACAGTTCAGCGGAGGACATCTGGATTACTATTTTAATTAAATGTAAGAGGCCTGCGACAACTTTTAAAATGCATATTTGTACATTGTACTTATGTCGGGAAGAGGGTGGTAACTCATATAAGGAACAATTATGCAATTTTTCTGATAATCTTAGTAAAATAATTTACAGTCACCCGTTAGACAAATTTGTTGTTGTGGGTGATTTTAATTTCGGTAATGACGTGCAATGGTTAAGGTCAAATGGGGAAGCCGTAATGCTACCGGCCAACTATGCTGCTGGTTATTTATCTGATTTCTTTGATCTCATTGACACATGTAATTTAAGTCAGTTTAATGGTGAATTTAATCATAATAATAGGGTGTTGGATTTAGTGTTTTCTAATGGAATATTAAACGTAAAAAATTGTATCAAACCATTGGTCCCGGAGGATTTTCATCACAAATCCCTTGATATATATGCTGAATTTGTTCATATTCACGAATTGAAACAGTTGGGCCAAATGAAGTATATTTACAATCGAGGTGACTATTCTGCAATTTCAGCCGAGCTTAGTAAAATTAATTGGAGTCAGTGTTTAAGTACAGGCTCATTAGATGACGCGGTGGCCTATTTATATAAAAAAATATATGAGCTTCGTGACCAACATATACCTCGTAAATTGATTAAATCCAACTCTTACCCGCCATGGTACAATTCTAGTCTCATAAAAGCTTTGAAAGAAAAATCTAAATACCATTCTAAATATAAGACGTACGGTAACTTATCTGATTACCAATCTTTTTCTACACTGCGGAAAAGGGTCTTCGATCTTGAGAGGGACTGCTTTGAAAAGTACATTCAACACATCGAATCTTCAATTGTAGAGAACCCCAAAGCATTTTGGACGTTTGTAAAAATGAAAAGGAACAACTCGACTTTTCCTAGTGTAATGAATTACAAATCTGTGAGCGCTGACACTGGTGAAGATATAAGTAACCTATTTGCGGAGTACTTTCTTGAGACTTTCTTCGTGACTGGCCAATCGACGTGTTGCACTGTCAACATGAACTACGATAACGTTCTATGTAGCATAGGCGATATTCAAATTAATGCAATCAAGGTACATGATCTTTTAAAATCACTCGATTTAACAAAGTCGGGGGGACCTGATTTGATTCCTCCACTTTTAATTGTAAAATGTGCCGAAAGTTTGGCGGTTCTATTGAGTCTGTTGTACGGGCGATCATTGTCTGAGGGAATTGTACCTAAACTGTGGAAATCTGCCTTCATCACACCGGTCCATAAGAAAGGGAATAGATGTAATGTGGAAAACTATCGTCCCATATCCAAATTGTGTCTATTTGCCAAGGTATTGGAAAGGTTAGTTTATATAGAAGTTTATTCTAGTTTACAAAATTCATTTAGTGACGATCAACATGGTTTTCTTAGCCAACGTTCCACATCCTCAAACCTGATTATTGCAAACGATTTCATTACTAGTGGGATGGAAAGAGGAGCACAGGTTGATGTAGTATACACTGATTACAAAAAATGTTTTGACCGAATAGACCATTGTATATTGCTTTCTAAACTTCAAGCAGCAGGCATACATGGTAACTTGTATCGTTGGTTTGCGTCCTATATTGATAATCGTAATCAGGCTGTAGTCTTACGGCGTTTTTTGTCACAGTGGACTAAGATACCTTCTGGTGTACCCCAGGGGTCAATTTTGGGTCCACTTTTATTTATTATTTTCATAATGGACATTATGCTTTTTGGACATTATTAAGAAATGCTTTCGTTATTCAAAATCTGTACTTTTCGCAGATGATATGAAAATCCTAAAGGTTATCAACAATTCATCTGTATCCGTGATCTGCAGGAAGATCTCTTGCGGTTCGAACAATATTGCATTACGAATAAATTAGACCTAAATGTAACTAAGTGCTTCTGTATGACTTTCTC